GGGAAAGAGATTTACCTTTGGAGGAAGAAGATACGATGGAGAGTGAGAGGGGAGGGACAGAAGAGAGGTTGGCGATGAAGGAAGACATGGAAGGAAGCTAAAGCTCACAGTTTGTGTCTTTCTGAAGCTCACAGTTTGTGTCTTTCTGAAACACACTGCAGTTGCAGTGTAACCACCACCACATAAATTATTACTTGACCGTTTTCATCTGATCTTTTTCGCGTTACGAGTATTACAACTGCGTTACTGGTAAAATTTGAGGATAATAAATAAAAAGAGAAAAAGAAAAATTTTCCCTTTTTTATTGGTTTAATTTTAGAAAAAATATCAGACTCAAATACTCGTAAGTAATTTTATCTTAATTTACCGTTTAATTGGGTCATATTAATTTTCTACCTTGCGGTTTTACACCATGTTGTACTAGAATTTTCTTTTCAAAGACTCTTTTACTTTTTTTTAGGGGAAAATTTTCTTGTTGATGGTGATGGTTTTTAATGATTCTGTTGGAACACTCGATAGATGGTGAAAAAAAAAAGGCTAGAGACAAGTCGGCTAATATTTTTCATTTTTATGCCCGGAACAAAGAGTAGCAGAAAAAGGATGAACTACAGAAATTAGGGTGTTCATCAAATTCACCAATCTACATAATCAAATTTGTTATTGCGCATTAAATTATGAATTGAATATTTTTTAATCTGTATAATCTGGTAATCTGAATTCTATATATAATATATTTTTTAATATATGTTTAAATAACCATGTAATAGATTTTTTTTTTCAATTATATAATTTAAATACATATGTAATTATGTATGGAATCTCATCCTCCAACTAGTGGCACTATAATATGGCTCATCCACTTCGAAATAACTCCAGATGAATCACATATCAGTCTCAAAAGTACTACATAACTCGGATTTAGAGCGGTAGGGAGACTACCATCTAGCTAAGACCTAACGTCAGTAAATGGGGACACCATCACAATTATTACAACACAAATAAAAAATAAAAACAGAAAAACGCTACAAAGATCCCAAGAAATTAAACCAGCAAAATCGAGCCCCTCAACGCCGGAGGTGTGTGTAACACGGTGGGAAGTGGCGCCGGAGAAAAGCTCCTGAAACGGTGATAAAAGCACCGTAGACACAGCGGCGCGTGGGTCCACGAGCGGACCACATGCCGGACCACCTTCCTCACCTCTCTTCCACAATCTAGTTCTCAGAGTTTCAACAGAATCCAACGGCGAACGCGTCCTAGATCTAAGGTAGAAAATACAATTATAGTTTTATTATGTTTGTGTTTAATTTTGTTGTTAATTTTTGTGAGAATATTGAAAAAGACATGGAATAAAAGAGTCAAAGGTCCAAAACGTAAGTTAACTTGCGAATGTGCAAAATTCAACATGCGGAATCCATTGTCGATTCGATTGGATTAGGGTCTAATGGATTGGTAATGGATTTAGATTTTTCCCCTTCACAGTAACGAATTGGATTACGGATTGACCCAATCCGCACAATCCGATCCGCAATCACCCTAAGAGAAACAACTTCAAAACGTTAGAATTATAACCATGTATAAACGATAAAGAATTATAAAATAAGAGGTCATTTCTCTGATTTTTCGTTCTTCTTTCTTATACAATTTTTTATCATCATTTTAATCTTAGTGTCATTCTCATTGTCGCTGTCATTTTTAAAAATCTTAAATTTATGAAGTCGCTGTCTTTTTGGTCTCAGTAGATGAAAACGCACGCGACTCATTTAAAACAACAATTATATAGATCACTGGAAAAAAAGAAGAAAAAAGAAAGGATGAGGGAAATAAAAACAAAAACGGAAAAAAGACAAAACTTGTGTGAAATGTTTCATAACTGAAGATCTAATTTATGATAATTACAAGTAAAAGATGTTATATAGAGACACATTTGAAAAAAAAAAATTTAATTTAGCAGGGTAATTAAAAATGATATTTAAATAACTATAAAAAAAGTATTTGCAAGAGATATATTTGAAATGTATAAAAATCAAAGGTTAAAAGATGTAATAGAAAAAGATAAGGGAGGGAAAAAAAATTAAAGAAATTAAAAAAAGACTAAAAAGGCCAAAAACCTAAAAAAGAGAAAATAGGCAAACTGAGTGGGGGGTAATGAAACGGCCCCACCATGAAATGGATTCTCTCTTTTAAGGAGAGAAAAAGGTTTTTAAGCTGACGTCGTTTTTCTATTAATTGGCGTTCCTACTGCTGGCGTCGTCCAGCGGTGTTCATCAAATTTACCAATTTGACTAATTCACATAATCCAGTCCAATTCAGTAGATTGTATTGGTAACGAATTGGGATTTTTTTAATCTACAATAACATATTAGATTACAGATTAAACATTTTTTAATGCACATAATCCGCCCATCTGAACTACATAGATTATATGTTGACGGTGAAATTTCGTCAACAGGATTACGTCAGGTCACTTTTAGGTATCCTGTCAGGTTACCGGCTAAAAAGCGTTTATTTGATATTGAAAATGATGTAGTAAAGCGTGTATGAAGTTTGTGGTAACTATAATGGGAGGATTGTGCTTGTGTGAGAATAAAGGCACGAGATTTATAGTGGCTCACTCAATTAATGAAAAGCTACATCCACTTTTCTTTGTATTTCTTTTGGATTCTTTACAATGACTCTCCCTCTCTACTCTCGGGTTTAACATGAAATGAGCCAAACTAAAAGGAAAAATCCACCCCCTTTTTCGTTTGGGGCTTTGCCCCTTTTATAGCCAAGGGTTCCTTCGTGGGTGGTTCTTCTCGTAGGCAGCAGCACTCGAGTGGCCTACCCTCATAGGCTCAGACCGTAGCCCACTAATCACCTTTTGAGCTGTACACTCATCCAATTAGTCTTTCATTACGGCTCTGTAGACTCCCGTAACCCTCCACCGTTCACTGTTGGACGGTTTAGGGGCTTGTAATTAATGCTTGCACTGCAGACATCTCCCAGTGTCAGACACAAGTTGGTTGTCAGACACCTTTCTAGAGATACGGGCGTCGCCTCCTATGCTCTTCCCTCGACGTCTACGCTGAGTGGACAGTGGCCTCTTCTGGCCGCCGATCCTTCCGTGGCGTAGGGAATTTGTACAAGTCATAGGGTCGACGGCATAACGGGTCGACACCCTAAGGCGGGCTTTCTTCGCAGTGTAAAGGGGAAGTGAGCCTCAGGCGTCGAGGGTTGTCACTTTGTGAGGAGAAGTAGGGCCACGTGTAACGCTGTCGCTATCCCACGTGTCACCTGGATTTTCCCACACAACAGCTGCCCCCCAGGTCGAGGCTTTCTTTCAGACAGCCTCGAGCTAGGTTCGGGTACTTTTCTGTGCTTCGGGCGTGGGAACCTAATTCTGAGTCTATCTTGTAATGATGCCTTGACGCTTTAAACTCCTTTGAGAAGCATAACTGTCGTGTCGGTCACTTCACCAAACTGACGTAGGGCTTCATTTTGAAAAGATGAATCTGAGCCTTTGGATCGTGCCCCTTCACCATACCGCCTTTGTTTTTCGTTGTTCGATCCTGACTGAATGCCCCCGCCATTGGATTCATCAGAACTTCATCCAACGGCCAGGGGTCAAGGGCTCATTTTTCTTTAAATGTTCCTCGGACCGAAGCCACTTCATTTTTGAACTGCCGTTAAATTTTCCCATACTCAGAAACCTGCTTACCTTGCGCTTCCTGGTGCTTCGTGAAGCTATCGTGGTCCATAGTCTCTGATTTTGCCTAGACTCCAACTTTTCTTCATTATTGGTAAGTTCTTTTACGCTTCATATGCTTTCCCTGAACTACCTAGGGTAGCTTTTCTGATTTCTGTTTCTGGTCCAGTTGTGGTTTCTAGGTTCTGACAAGTCCTGTATGAACATTCGTCGCTTCCGTCTTCTTATGAATGGTTGACGTCTTGTTGAGAACTAGGTGTCGTTGGTTCTGAGCGGACGTCATTCATCCCTCGACTTAGGTTTCTGACTTAGCTCCTTTGTCTCTTTTTTTTTTAATCAGAACAAATGGCCCCAAAACTCACTTGTCAAGAGGAGACGTCCGTTGTACGACCCGACTCCCCTTCTGTGGCGGAGATTTCATGGTCATCTTCCTCGTCGGAGGACGACTCCATAGCGAGAGAGGTTGAGGACCATGCGGCTGAGCCTAGTGAAGTGGTTGACAGCGTCGACCTTATGGTTGAGGGAAAAGGTGACGAGATTCCCCTCACTGGAGGCGGCATATGTGGATTTTCCGCATCACTGGTGGAGGCACCCTGGCTGCCATGAGCGGAGACCCAGACAGGCCATTTTTTACGGCCGATGTTATGGCGTCGAGGGTTCAGAATAAGGACATCGTCCGGGCAGTTAGGGAAGGTCACATCGACGGGAGATGGTTTGACTATCTCCTTCCGGATGTAAACTTCAGGACCAGCCTCCCTCCTACCGGATATCTCCCTGTATATACTAGGGCTGTTATGGTGGGGATGACCTTACCCATTCATCCCTTCGTCAAAGATTTTTGCCACCACCATGGCATCTCGCCTGCCCAGTTAGCGCCGAATTTTTGGTATTGTTTTGCCAGCGTCTGGGTTTTGTGGAGCCAGCAGTTTGATTTAGATCTACCGCATGAAGAGTTTATGTTTATGTATAAACTATGCCACGTCGCCAAGTGTGCGGGGTGGTATTTTTTGAGTGGTCACGGGCGATCACAGCCCAGACTTGGGAAGTTAATACAAGGCATTCCCTCGTCGTCTCATGGGTGGAAACCCATGTTTTTTATGGTACGGGGGCCCTTCAACTTCCACCCTGAAGACCGCAGGCCTTGACATCGAAAGGTGCAGATGTCGTTTGGGAACATGAGTGAGGATTTGGCCTTTCCTGCGCTCTCTTTTTCTTCCCTTTTTTTTTAAAACAATGTTGACCACTTCTTTGATACGCAGTTAGTCACAATCAGCCAAAGCTCGCCGATAATAGGTTGGCGAGGGTTAAGACGGCTTTTACGTACTCAGAGAGCGTGCGTCATATCGACGTCCTTTTGACCGAGACGAATCTCAGGAAGGAAGGGCTAATTCTCGACCTCCCAGACCCCTCTGACCCCATACTCGTCAGAAAGTACTTCCATTTGAACGACGAAGGTAAATTCCTGGGCTCAACGCCTCCGTTCATTCTTGCTTAAATAATTTGCACGTCGACTT